CAGCGAGGGCAGGGCGGCTCGCAGCCGGGCTCCCCGGGGGTTTTGGCGCACTCTGCGGTACCGTCGTGCCCTGCTTCGTGGGTACAAGCCTGCGGGTTCCGCTGACCACCTCCTGAGCAGCTTGCTTTGTAGATGGCAACTGCTGAATTTAATCTGTGGTTAGCAGGACTAAGAAAACCTAAAATCCGTGGAAGCGTGGACTGAAGTCGGGGTCTCGTGCTCCTCTATGTCATTTACGTCTCAGCGCAAGGTCCTTGCTTTGGTCTGTGTGGCTGGGCCTGAAGCGTGCACTGGGGGAAACGGAGAGGACGGAACCTGTTGTAAAAGATCCCCTGGGCCTCTAACGTTGAGGTGCTCCTGGCTGGCAAATCTGAGTGCTTTGGGCTTCAGCGTGAGGTCAGAACAAGAACTTAAAAGTGCTTATGTTATACGGTAGTATTTCTTTCTGTTTCAGGGACTGCTCTCCCTTATCAGTATTTTAGCACTTGGGATACTCTGTTTAACTTCTTGTGGCTGACAGATTAAATGAAAGGGCATCTTGACCTTGAGAAAAGCAGGATTTCCAGGTCCCACCTGTGTTCACAGTACAGAGCAGAATTTCGAAGCTGAAAGTGGTTCCTGAAGTGCAAGGGCCTGGTGCCGTGTCAAGGGAAGCCCATTACAGTGGGTTTTCTAACTGAGTGAGAACTGGAGTTACCCGTACAGCTCCCCAGGGAGTGGCCGAGCTTGGAGGGGTACGCTTCCCCCTTTGTTTCTCTTTCTAGGGCTCCAGCTTTGGTTGGGAGAGACTTTATTACGTGTTTCTGCAGGTAATTGGGGCATTTTAATTTCTACAGCTGAAGCTTCCATTCCAGTTCTTAGAAACACAAAATCGCATCTCTTGATTAGAAAGGCATCAAGACTGTGAAGCAGCCGTGTTATTTGGTGTTGATGTTAAAACACAATCGACACCACTTGGCTACTTGGATGTGTCCAGGTTTTTGGTATAAAGACAAGGTAGTTTGTGCTGCCTCTGCTGTTCTACAGCAGAAGGAAGGAAGAAAAGCAGGATAAAAGGGTGATGTTGCAAAACCAATTCCTGGTGTGCTTCCGATGGTACTGTTACTGCATATGAAATCAGACTCTTGCTTTTCTCTTCTCCTCGCTTTGGGCTGCACAGTGAAGTACACCGGGTACTTGGAACACTGGGATGAACCCTTCTGCACAAACTGCTACAGCAAGTCTCCTGGGCTGATGAAACTTGGAAAAGGTAGGTTTGAGCCGAAAAGTTTGTCCTGGGACTTGGGGTTATAAAGCCCAGGCCATTAAGACGTGTCAATTTAGATGCTGTTTAGTATCTTTAGGTTATTTGAAACCCTTAAAACTTGTTAATGGAGTCCAAAAGCCTCCTGCTTCACACAGGTGATGGTCAATCTGGAACCGATCACCCTCTGCCCCTCTTGACTGTGGGAGTGAGCAGCGGTGCCGGTGCCAGTGCTGTTCGCGGCAGTGGGGGTGCTTGCTGCCTGCCCTGAAGCAGCTGCTTGTTTTGGTGTTTTTAAATCACCTGAGAGGAGATGTCGCTGTTTACTGTGTGCTTGGTCCCACAGCCTTGCTAAGCCGTAACAGGGGGCAGTTGACCATTGCAGTTGCTGAGACACGAGCTACCAAAGGTTGTTTTTTTTTCCCTCCAGGCTTTAGGAGAAATTGTTGTTTGGAGTCTGAGGGGGGTTTCCAGGTTTGTGATTTTCATGATCTTCCATTTCTTGTTGTGACAGACATTACGCTGGGGGGCCTGGAAATTGGCCTGCTGACGATGAAGAAGGGAGAGGTGGCAAGATTTGTCTTCACACCAGATTATGCCTATGGGCGGCAGGGCTGTCCTCCTCTCATTCCCCCGAATGCCACGGTCATGTTCGAAGTGGAGGTGCTGGACTTCCTGGACTCGGATGAATCTGACACTTTCTTTGAGTTGACTGCTGTGAGTTGCCTTAATAAGGTTTGAGACCTAAATCTGGAGGCTAAACCTTTGTTGTCTTTCCTTCCAGTTGCTGTCGCTCATGTGTTACATATGTGTAGCTTAATTACAGGTGCAGTTATCCAGACCCTGGGCTGCTAGCTCCACTCTGATACAAACACGTGCCCTCTAAGACTGCCCCTGCACGCCTTGCTCCGTTTGCACTCCTGTGCAGAGGGAGAAGCTGGGTGCTGCCTTTGTTTGCTCCCGTGTGCTGGAGTCAGTGGAACGACTTCCACTTATTTTTAGCTTTACAAGAAACCTCATGGTTTCACTAGAGGGCACCAGCTTCCAGGAATTTCTCTGAAGGAACAGTAAGAGCTGTCTGTAAAAATCCTGTTCAGTCTGCAGTGTTCAAGTGCCCCCCCCCCAGCCCCCACCCTTTGTCTCTGCTTCTTGGCTGCTCTCCCAAGTGCTCCTTCACCCTTCACTTTCCTCCCTGGTGAGTTACGGTGTTATTGTTAATTTCCCCCTTTTCATGTAAAGGGCTTTGGGCCGTGGTTGTGGGTCAGTGAGTGGGGCACCAGGCAGCAGCACTGGTGGGGGAGGCCCTCCTCATTCCTTCCTGCTGCTGCACAGGACGCTTTGTCCGCACAGAGCCCTGCGAGCCAGCCACACTTGTTGCAAGAGAGCTTACTCCCCTTCTTGCCAGTTGCCCACCCTTTCTGGCTAACTGACCTCTCTCTGTGAGCTGGTTCAAACTTGCAAACCCAGGAGAAAAAACGTCCCTCGATTTTTATCTGTTTTTATTATTGTTGGGGTTGTTTTTTTGTTCTGCTGGTTGATGTCTTGTGTGGGTGTCAGGCTGGTCCTGGAGCTGGCGTGAGGCAGCCACCTTGGGTGATGCTGAGCCATTAGAGCAATGGAGCCTTTCAATCACCTTCACCTTTTGTGCCAGCAATAGCATTTGCGTTAACTGTCTGCTCTGTGCTAAGCAGGTGAGAGAGTGGGGCAGGATTTAAGAACAAATTCCTGCTTTTCTCCCTCCCCTGGAGTCCCTTTGGTGCTGGTGAGCTTCCTGACCCGCTTGGTAGCACTCTTCACCAGGAGTTATCAGCACAAAGACAGTGGCATGTTTCAGCCTGGCGAAGGGGAATGCCACGTGGTGGTGGCCTGGCTGGACGCTGCAGGGGCCTTGGCAATGGGCTGGCTCCTGCTCTGTGAATAGAAGGGGACTGTGCAGGACTGTCCTGTCTGAGCTCTCTGCTTCTTTTCTTTTGTTTGAGCTGAAATTCAGGTATTTCTTTATACAGGAGCAGCAGGATACGTTTCCGCTACAAAAGGTGTTGAAAGTGGCAGACACGGAGAGAGAGTTTGGCAACTACCTCTACCGTAAGCGGCACTTCGAGGGTGCCAAAGACAGATACAAAAGGGTATGACACCAGAAAAAAAGCGTTTTCCATTGTGAAAAACTGTGAAAGCAGTGATTATTAAGTGCTAGCTCACCATAACAAGTACAATTTAGAGATCACATAACTTCATTATATTTTCCAGGCATAGTTTGTTATTTAAGAACAGATCTTGGGTACCTGCTTTTGTGTGAGCAGCAGTGGTAAACGAAGGAGGAGAAGGGTTGGCAGAAATAGGTAGAACCCTTTTCCTTCAGGCTTGCTCCCTGTGAGCTCTAGCTGAGACAGAAGAGTACATCTCGGTGGCTGTGTGAGCCCTGAGCGGTTTGCGTGGCTGAGCCTTTCAGGTCAGCTTTTGCTGGAAGACATTGTAATGCAGCATATCCTTGTATTGCAGCAGCGTGCTGATTAATGCTTTGAGAAGGAATCTAGAATCCCTTTGGTCTGGAAACAGATATCACTGGCACACTGGGCACTCTAACTTTATTTTTATCCTTCCAATTGGGAATCACAGAATAGTTGAGGTTGGTAGGAACCTCTGGAGGTTGTCTAGTCCAACCCCCTGCTGAAGGTCAGCCACAGCAGGAGGTTGCCCAGCACTGTGTGCGTTCAGGTTTTGAACATCTCCAAGGATGGAGACTCCACAACCCCTCCAGGCAGGGAAATACTCAGCTATTCCCAAACTGGAATGCATCTGCTGCTGTTTCAGAGGTAGCGAGGTTTTGTAAGGTTTTTCTTCCCTCCATTCAGAGTTGCTTTTTCTTGGTATTTTTGTAACAAAAATAATTTAAATTGCCTTTTTCCCTGTAGGATTTCTCTTCCATCTTTGCCCTTAAAATCTGAGTCCTGGGTGTAATTTTTTTTTTTTTTATTCTGCTACTTCAAGTTCTTGATAGGTTCCTAAACCTGTAGTCTTATGGCTGAGCTGGCTAGTCATGCTGATAATGCCATGCAGTATATTTAGAGTTTTGATTATTATTATTTTTAACTGACCCAGGTAAACAGAAGCATGAGCGTAGCTGTCTGATGAGATGGATTTCTCACCTTCCATAACAGATTTGTTGTGCACTAGTTCTTTTTCCCGGTCTGCTCAGGCGTTCTCCATCCTCGGTCGCAGCCCTTCCAGTAAGGCAGAGCAGTGTCAGATCGATGCTTCCAAGTTGCTGGTGCTCCTGAATCTTTCACTTACTTACCTGAAACTGGAACGTCCTGCCCAAGCTTTGGCATACGGGGAGAAGGCCTTGGAGATTGACCAAAGAAACGCCAAAGCGCTGTTCAGGTGTGGCCAGGTGGGCAAAAATAAGTTCCTCTGGTAGCCACATCAAGGAATACCCCGGCCTGACTGACTGTGGAGAGAACCTCGAATGAACCGAGGAGAACCACTAAATTCTGGGCCAGGCCTCCTAAACTGCTGCAGCAGTCGAGGTGGTTTGCCTGTGTCTGACCTCTTGGAAAAATCTGTCTCTCTGTAAATCTGTCACACAGATCTTTTCATGGGGGATTCCTGAGCTACCTGGATCTGTCTCAGAAATGTTTGTGGTTGCACATGTTTCACTCCTGAAGAATGGCAGTGAGTCTATATTTATCTTGCGACGCATCTGTCTTCTTTCAATGGCAGGCTTGTCTCTGCATGACAGAATATGAAAAAGCACGGGATTTCCTGGTCAGAGCTCAGCATATACAGCCGTTTAACCACGATATTAACAATGAGCTGAAAAAGTTGGCAAGGTGAGCGAACTCCTTTCCATCCCTGTGGAAGAGAGAGTGCTTAGACAGGCTGGAACACCCACTCAAAAATATTTAAAATGTTTAAAAAAACAAAACACGAAACTCCTGGGTCAGTAAGTGACTTGGGGAAAATGCAGGGTTTCTCTTATGGCAGTGAGTCTATATTTATCTTGCGACGCATCTGTCTTCTTTCAATGGCAGGCTTGTCTCTGCATGACAGAATATGAAAAAGCACGGGATTTCCTGGTCAGAGCTCAGCATATACAGCCGTTTAACCACGATATTAACAATGAGCTGAAAAAGTTGGCAAGGTGAGCGAACTCCTTTCCATCCCTGTGGAAGAGAGAGTGCTTAGACAGGCTGGAACACCCACTCAAAAATATTTAAAATGTTTAAAAAAAACAAAACACGAAACTCTTGGGTTAGTAAGTGACTTGGGGAAAATGCAGACGGTTTCTCTTAGTGTGGGGCCAGCCGATTCAAACATTTTGCAGACACAGCGGTTACAGGTGATAGGTGAGAAGCTGAGAGCACCCACTCTTTCTGTACAGTTTCTCTGGGGGGATGCGTGTATTGCGCTCCGTGTGAGTAGGCAGGTCAGGGTGATGACAGGGAGACAGGGGCTGCTGCAGTGCCTCAACACCAATGAAATGCGGTAGGCTAGCGCTCAAGCTGGAAATGTTCTGGATTAATAAGTGTGATTTTCATTCCCTTTAAGATGCGTTGGTTAATTACAGCAGCTCTTCTGCACTGCAAGTGCTTCAGTGTACAATGCTACAAATACTAGTGTTTGTTAAAAGTGAATTTCTTGCTGTCTTGGAGGTAATAAGTGAGCAATCCTGAAAGCAAACTTTCCCTTCGCCTGCAGGCTGAGTACAGCACAATCCTGCCAGCTTTAGTCATGCCCTAGTCCCACCAAAACATGACTAACGCTAGTCTCTGCCCTCATTCTGTTCTTCCCTTTGAAACTGGCAAGAGCACTAGCTGATTCCCAAAAGTGTGTGCTGTACTTCTGGCACTGTTCACAGACGCAGAAGGCGATCCAGTCCCCAGCTTCAGAGATCACAAAGCAGCCCTTGAATACAAACCCTCTTCTTTTGTGTGTCGCCGCCAGGCATTTGCAAAAAGGTTTGTAGGCAGCAGTAAAATCTCTTATTAGCATAGTTGGTGCGGCTGGAAAAGCCAGTCTTGTGGGCTGAGTGCCCTCACCAGGTAATGTTTTGGTAGAGGGCTGTCCTTGCACGTCGGTGTCCTACATATCCACGTCGTCTTTAGTAGTCTGTGATAACACCAAGTCTTCAAACTTGTTCTGTTACTTCTGAAGTACAAAGAACTTGAAGGCGGTATTAGCTGCTGGTCTGGAAATATGAAATAAAGCACTTCTATTCATTGTGATCTGCCCCTGGGTACGTAGCTACCAAATTGCTAGGTGAGCGCAAGTAGTTCTAAAATAGATGTGGATGGCTGGCTAGATACTCTTGGAGGCCTGGCATGTGGGCAGTGTCAAAGACCCATGGTACAGTGCTAGGAGTCCCGATTCTAGAAGCCTCGTGTTCCCTTAGACTCGTTCGAAATATGTTGGCAGATGAAAGAGAAGTCCTGCTAGTAACGTTGAGGTTGTGCTGCCAGGAAGCAACAAGGCATTCTGCCTTCAGGGAAGCGGCGGGTAGGCTTGTCGGCTCCGACTCTGGAGACAGCAGCACGTACAGGTAACACGTGTGTCAGTAAGCTGAGTACGCGTCACACCACTGTTGTCTCGGAGTTTCTGCCTCAGTGCCGGTTAAAATTGGTGTATTTTTTGCTTTTACTCTGACAGAGGGTGGAATTAGTATAAAATAGATGAAGACAATGTTATCGTGTGTTGTTAATTATGCCATACCTCAGTCTAGAACCTATAATGTTGCCAAACTGCCTTGCCTGAGAAAACTCGTAATGTGATCTGGCAAATGCTTCAGAAATGGAATATGAATCAAAATGTTGTTCTTAGAGGCTTTTCACTTCCTTACTGAGTACACTTATACTTTGTGAAAAGGAACATTGTTTGTTCATCAACAGCTACCTTTTGCTGTTTAAAACAAAACTTTGAAAAGCATCTCTTTAACAGCTGAACCAGGTTCTTGGCAAAATTCACTTCACTGGAGAACAACAGGCAGAATACAGCGTGAGGATTTTGTGGAACGCGTCTCTGGTACCAGCTGTAGTGGTCTTGTTGGTGCAAATTCTGCTGCTGGATTTGGCAATTCTATTGGAAGGCTTGCGTTGCATCAAATCCAGAACAAAATGGGGTTGTTCCGACATCTGGCATGAATCTGTGCCTCCAAATGAGGGGCTCTTGGATTTCCTGCTGTGGTAGGTGTGTGAGTGTGCCGTCCACAGTCTAGGTGGGCATCCCTCATCTACTCAGTGTGGACAGTTGTGGCAACATCTGTCTGAGACTTAACAGAAGACACTTGCTGTGCTGTGATTTCACTGAACGAAACACTCGGAGGTTCTGGGCCCAGGGGTGCTAATGGTAGGGGGCTGAGGGAGCATTAGCCAAGGTCACACTTGTGCTGGTGCGTTGCAACAAAAACCTTTGCTTTTGACCTTATATGGTAGCAGATGTAGGAAAGCTGACCGTGTGGGCAGCCATTGATCCCTGGGACCGTGCCCAAACTGAGTCACGCTCTGGCTCAGGGATTCCTCACCAGTGAGACCTCGTTGCCAGTGAGGTGAGAGCACAGGGTGCAGAGGATGCTGTGTTTGGAGAAGCAGCGATTAAAATGGAGCAGTCTGGGAAGCTTTTGCCATGCTAATGTGACGCTGGCAGGGAAGTCAGAACGGAGGAGGAAGCATCTGCCCTGTCATCCACTTAGTCCGAACGCAAATCCCTGCTGTCTCCTACCCATCCTCTGCCCAGATTCAGTGTCAGTGGTAGATACCCTGGAGTAGGGCACTTGGACGATGTCTCCTAAAGTGCTGAAGGAGCTCACACGAGGAGTGGCACAAATGAGGAGACGTGAAACTAGACCACAGGATACAGGTGGGGGTTCCTCTGCATCGTCACATGCTTGCAAAACTGGTGTAGAAAGCATCTGGCTACCGAAAGTCAAATTATCTACTTAGCTAATAGTCACCAGCGAAGCAGAGACCCAAGGTCTGGGGATGAGGCACAATGTTTCCAGCCCTCCTTCCTTGACATGGCAGAAAGAAGGGCTTGGAGGAGCTGCGTCTTTGCTACCAGCTCACTCTTGCATTAGGCTAATTTATATAGAAGAAATAATACATATTTTCTGGTTGTGGCAGTGTTGGTTGGGCGGGCAGTCCACAGCCTGTGATGCCATGCTGTGCTTTACTTTGCAGCTGCTACAAGGACTACATGGAAAAGGAGAAAGAAATGTGCTGCCGAATGTTTGCCCCTCTCAACTCTTCTTCTGGCTGACCAGAAATAAAGGTAATCAAGTTGTGTTTAAAAAAAAAAAAAAAAAAAAGCTGAGGTCTCCCTAAACCTCTGTCATGTCGGAACTGTTTTCAGGTGGGGAACCTGCTTCTCTTCTGCGTGGGAGGATTTTGGGGACAAAATAGAAAGTAATGGGAGTGTGTGGAGGGGAAGGGGCAGGATGGTGGGGTGAGACGCTGCTACATCATCAGTTTGGGGAATCTTTCCTGCGAGGCAAGCTGGCGTGGGACAGGAACCTGAAACTGGCAGCACTTGAGTAAGTTTGGTTTTGTTGTTTCCTGTGCTCCTCATCCCAGCTATTCCTTGTCAGAGCCAGGAGGAGAAATAGCTGTGTAGTCTTGTTTCTCTGCCAATTAAAAGAAACAAAAAAAAATTGTTCCTGTCAAACTTAAGAATTGGATTTCCTCCTCCCCTCCAGCGCTCCTGTCTGGAGCTGTTGGAATGCCTCACTTCAGAAAAATCTAAATATTTTATTTCTGGGTTTTTTGAAATATTAAAAAAACCTGTTTGTATAGAAAATTTCAAATAGATGTTTTGGACTCTTTAAAGCCTTAAATCTTCTAGCAAAATTGACGGGTTTATAAATGCACAAAGGCTCTTTGATCGTTCTTTTTTTTGTCAAAACCTTTGGGGGGGGGGGTATAAGGGGGAGTGGGAATCTTCGCTGGTCTCTAGCCTCAGGGTAAACCCTAGGGAAAGACTTGCGGAAAATGACAGCAGCCTTCTGTCAGAAAGCATCACCAGCTCAGGGCTGTCGGAGTTTGCTGCCGTTCTCTCTCATGCAATACAGGCAGTGCCTCTTCTACTTACAGAAAATGAGTATTGGCAGCCTTTCCATCAGTAGCAGTGCGAGTGGAAGGTGCAGGTCTGGCATTTTAAGGTTGGCTCTTTTGTCTGTGCTTGTGAGGAAGCTAAGGTAGCATTTGAGGAAGAGGTTTGATTGAACGGCTGCTTCCCAAAGCAACACAACCCTCTTCGGCTGGATGTGCCTCCCTGCTGTAGTCTTCACCCCTCCCGCCGCCCCTGTGCCCTGCTCTGAGCTGGGCATGTTGCTAAACTGCCTCGGAGCACAAATTCTTCTGCCCTGGGTTCAGGATGAGACTCATTGTGTCTGTTAGCAGGTACCTACCCCCAGGCAAGTAGCTGTGAAGGGGGATTTAAGACTGACGAGCGGTCTTGCCAGCGTGTGCAGGAAGTCTGTGGCTCTGGACTTGGCAAAGAGGCTCTGATTCTCCACTTGCTGAATTTCAGACTTGCAGTTTGGAAGCCTGTAGGACAGGGGTCTCGTGTCTGACGGTAATACGTAACGGTGCCTGATCTGGGAAGCTTCTTGTGTCGATCTGTGCATCAGCTGGCCCTGCTTTGCGGTGGGAACTCTGAATGAATGTGGTGATCTGCTGGGTTGCCAGACGGGTCCTCCACTGGTAAGGTTGTGTGGCCTCTTGTTTCCCAAAAAGCGGCTTGCAAAGATGCTGATTTCCACACAGTTGGTGTAATGGCACATAGCTATTGTAAGTAAAGCAGTGTCTTCAGTTAGTGGAGACTGAGAAGTGCAAAGGGGAAGGGAAAAAGAGAAACCTCTGCTGGAGGCAAGCTTAAAGATTGGGCTGAACTGTTCCTCAGCCAGAGTTTCTCCACTGACTCCCACCGGTGCACATGTACAGTGCTTTCCTGGAGTTCTCCCGCCTTACACAGCTGATGGACAGCAGTCAGTCAAAAAGATTTCTAACCTTCTTTGAAGTTGATTTTAGTTACAGTATTAAAAATAAACTAAGTCTTCCAGACAAACATAAATTGCTGAGACCTACAGAAGAATCTACTGTTAATTCATAGCAAGAAAAATCCCTTGCTGGAGGAGGTTCTGGCAGGGCAGGGCCTTGTGCTAGCTGGAGGTTGGTTTGCTGCTGCTGCATCTTGCTTAAAAACTTCATTACATATTCAGAGAGGAGCAAAGCAGTTCCAACTGGAGCTCCTGCTCTCTATCAAAGGCACGGCTAATTAGTCAGACTTGAGGCAGAACATTCTTTGATGTTTTCTGACAACTTTGTACCAGTTCAGTTTGGGGCACAAGCTGTACTCGGTCGGTCTGGCAGGCCTGCTTCATCCTTTCTGTCTTAGGCATTGAGTGAGTACATGGCCTGTGAACACTGCCCGTGGTTCATGTTTAATGATCCAGTGGAATCGCAACAGTTACGGAAAACTTTCCTATATACCAGCTGGCAGGTGCTTGTTAAGCGTTGACCTGACCCGTTGTCCAGCTTACCAGCTAAATGACTCGGAGCTGTAGTTGTGGCATTTTTTCCCTCCTGAAACACTGCTACGTCTATCCCCCTCCTTCCCAGGTGGGTTTGCTATGCCTTTCGGTGAGTTCTGCAGCAGTTGCTCTGTTACAGGGGCAAACGCTTCATTTCTCTGTACTGAATAATCCAGGGCTGTGTTGTATGTTTTGCATAATGACATTCAAACCCAGACACTCCTGAGTATCTTCATACTGCCTGGTCTTTCTGTGTCCCTCTCACTGTAGAGTCCAGTTCCTCTAATTGCCACAAACATCACCTTGCTCAGAACACACTTTCTTCCTTTTTAATGGAATTTCAGGTCAATAAATCTTCTCTTTGGTGAAATACTTGTGATGCTTGCTGGAGGAATTCAGAAATACTCAGAGGGAGAAATAGAAGCACAAACACTTTCTTAAATCCATCCTGCTGCAGTTCTTTGCAAACACAGTGGCTTGGGTCTTGTGCTTGCCCCTCTTTGGGTTTGGGTTACTTGCCTGCCTCTGTACACTTTGTGTGGTGCAGACGTGTTGAGCCAGGTTACCTGGGACGTGCATAGCCGAAAGTCCTCCTCAGTGTCCCCTAAACTGCAGGATGGATGGGCTGAGGACCGCTGGCTTATTGGAGCTTTTTGTTCGTTCTTGTCTGAAAGACCCGGCAGAAAAAAAAAGGGAGTTTCTTATCGTATTGCTGTGGTCCTTCATGATAAGAGAACTTAATTATAAGAGTGGGGACAAATTCCCTAGAAATGTCTGGATTCTAGTAGAGGGTCCTTGGTGATAGTTTCATCCCAGAAAGATGAGTCTGAGCCTTTTTTTTTTTTATTATAGGTGGGCCAAAGTTGAAAGCTTGCCTCTAATGTGTATCTCGGCTCAATATACAGGAGAAGTGGTCTCTAGTTGAGAGCACGCAGGGAAGTGTGCCAGTGAAAACAAACAATGCTGAAATTATGGCAGGAAACTATGACTCTGAGGTCAAACTTGAGATTGCTACGAATAGTAGGGTCTAGCAATTCTGAAGCCATTAATTGGTGAGAATTGGCTGCAGAACTGGGGCTGTGTCACCAGGTAGAAGTGACTATAATTGGGCTTAAAATCAGCAGCAGTTGCCAGTTAAACTGACCTAATAAGCTGAAAGAGACTTGCAAATAAACTGAGAAGTACGTATATAACACAGTCAAAACTCCTGCCTTGGGAAGTTGCCAGACTTGGAGTAAACAGCAACTTGCTCCTTCCCCTCCTGCTCTCCCTTATTACTGAGCAGATCTAAAATGTGCCTCCTGCCGATACTGTCCCTACCCACTGCCTAAAGCTGAACAACAGAGAACCAGCAATTTCACTTCTCCTTTAGAATATGCAAATTATTGTACCTCCGAGATGTCCTGTGCTGCAAAGGAAATTGTTAAATATCTGCTTTATGCTGAGCATTGCTGGAGTGAGCGGGAAGGCTTGAAGCATTCTCTTAATTAAGTATTCTCCTTGCTAAGCAGAGGAAGGAGAAACACTTTAGTAAGGTTGTTGGGTTGGGGTTTTTTGTTTTCCCTCCAGCTCTCTCCTTCTAGCATCATTCTTTTTTTCAGAGGACTTCCGCAGTTCACGCCTGCGGTAGTACCTGTAATACCTCTCTGGAAGATTGACTCTGTTCTCTTCTAGAAACTGTCAGTGGAGAAATGACCGCACCACCTCTGCTTAGGGATCCCATGACATGCGTGCCTCCTGGTCAGGTGTACTGGATGTGGGTCCCTGGTTTGACTGCACAAGGGGTGGCTTTGCCCAGATCGGGAGGTCTGGCCTGGGCTTAGAAGTGAAAAGATGATATGAAATGGAAAGGAGGGAGACCCATGCAATATCTCAGTGCCCTACCGTGCCTGTCCTCCAAGGTATCGGTGAAGTGACGGTTCTCCAGCCTCATCAGAGGACTGCCTTGGGGCCCAGCCCAGGGCCATCCTCTCCAAGATTTAGCAAGTGTCTAAAGCCTAGGGTTCCCCTTTGTGTGCTCAAACATGACGCTCCCAGGTGAGGTAGGAGCGGGTTCCTGGCTGCATTTCTCCTCAAGCTCCTGTCTGCCTGCCTGAGGCCACCCGGCACACTTTCCCTGGAAAGGACAGGCTGAGCCCCCAGTGAATACCCCTGTGCGGGCTTTTATTTCTCGGAGCTTTTGCCAGCAGCTGGAAGATAAAATATGCTGCTGTCACAAATCAGTAGAGAGTGGAAAAGGTGCCGGGCTCTTTTCATTCCCATAATAATACTTGGTTTATCATGCAGGTAGAGTTTAAAGAGAATTGCCTATGTGTAAGGTGCGACTTTCTTTATGAAGAAAGCTTTAGTTTTGCAGAGCATTCAGAGTTACTGGCCTTCACTCGCAGCAGCAAGGAGATGCATGGTTATTTTAAGGTTTTCTCTGAAGTACCGTTTTTAAAGTCTCCTTTCTCTACCCTTCCTGTTTCAGTTGCGATACGCTATACGAAGTGTAAGTAAAAATGTTTTGTTACCTTGATGGGTAAAAAGGCAAATTGGATAAACCTGCACCCAAGTAGGTAGTGACCAAACCGATTTCGGGTGGCAGCCTGCCGCAGGTGCCTGTGACTCATATGCCTGAGATCAGGTTACAGCTTAGTTGTGCGGGTAGCTGAGGCACAGAACTCCCCAGTGCCGCTTTTGGTCCTTGTGGCATTACAGATGGTGGTAAGCAGCTCTCCCTGGGCTCCTGCCAGCCCAG